TGTTTTTGCTACTAACACTAAAATGTTGGCGCATGCACCTCTAATCTGTATGTATCTGATTATTACTAGTCATAATCGGTTGCACTTGGATCCTTGGCACCTGTGTATGTCTATAAAGTCATTGGGTAGATTTCAATGGTAATGTTTATCACCTCTACTAATTAACATGACAAATTTTTATGCTTCCTCCTCAAATATAATTCAGTTTTTAAAATTTGTTGATTTTGTGTGTGTGTGTATATATATCACACAGAACATCCCAAACCATTTTATTCAACTATACACCTACTTCCCAGATGGCACCCTCCCAGAGCCTCCCTCCCCCGACTAGAGCCCTTATACTCTGTTGTCCCTGCTACTGTCTGCTGTGTTGTCGGCACCCCCAGCTGTTCCCCACTACTTGTCCATCTGGTGAATCTAGTCAGCCTATCTAGAGGTCTTCGTTTTAGGAAGGTCAGCTGTTCCTCATCTAGCAGCAATCAGTTGTCAATATTCCTTTAGATAAGATTGGGGTCTGCTGTTCATTTTCCCAGTTCTATGCTGGGTTACTATCTGGGGGTCCCTTGGGCCACCCTGGCCAACAACTCAAAAGAAGGTATCTCCTATCTGACATTGTTGCTTGTTATATAGCCTTTAGCTATACATATGGACTCTTAAAAAATTATATTGGTGTATAAGAAGGTATCTCCTATCTGGCATTGTTGCTTCTTATGTACCCTTTAGCTATACATATGAACTTTTTTTTTTTTTGTCTTTTTTTGAGACAGAGTCTCCTTGTAGCCCCAGCTGTCCTGGAACTCACTATGTAGACCAGGCTGGCCTTGAACTCACAAAGATCCACCTGCCTCTGCCTCCCAAGTGCTGGGATTAAAGGCACGTGCCACCACGCCCAGCACATATGGACTCTTAAAAAATTATATTGGCCCCTTTAATCTTTGGTTATAGTTTCCTTTTGGGTGTTTAAGGTCATACAGTTGGCCCAGATAAACCAATTTATTTTTACTCTTAAGGCCGTTTGAGGATCTATTCCTCAGGGGTCACTCGGGCTTGGGAGGAGCCCCTGGCTCCTTTCTTTTACCAGTCTATGTGAAGATAAGTCAAAGGTTCTGCTTGACCATGGCTGGCTTTCCTTGGAAGCATGGAGGAAATGTTTGCTCTGTGTTGACCCTCCTCTTTGTAGACTGGACACTGGTTCAAGTCCATCTGGTGGGGACTCCTCGGCCTCCTTGATCAAGAGGACAGGTGACCCACCACAATTACAGGACATTTTGAGAGATGCTCATAGTCCCCTGGAACTAGTCAACCTAAGAGGGCAAGGAGCAAAAACTGAAGTATGGACTTTCTTTAATGATGATAATTTAATGCTAGCTCATTAATCATGGAAACTATGTTACTAATAAAATTTTTCATTTATTGATTTATTTGGGGTGGAGGAGGTCACATGTCACAATATGCACATGTCAGTCAGAGGACAACTCGAAAGCCTCAGTTCTAGCCTTCCACCATGTGGATATTGGGGATTGAACTCAGATCATGAGGCTTAGGAGCACCTTCACCCACTGAGCCATCTTACCACCCCCAAGATAAGGTCTATGTGAACTGTTTGTACTAGCTACAACTTTTCTGTAAATCTAAAGCTATTCTAAAACAGTATTTATTATTTATTATTTATTAATTTATTTGAAGAGCAAATCCAAGCCCTTGTGCACTGAGCTACAGTCCCACCCCACAAAGTTTCTTTTTAGAAAGCCTCTTAGGTATACCAAACACTGTGTTACATTTTAAAGAGAATATAAAAGCAGAATGGAGGGCCAGGCGTGGTGGCGCATGCCTTTAATCCCAGCACTCGGGAGGTAGAGGCTGGTGGATCTCTGTGAGTTCAAGGCCAGCCTGGTCTACATAGTGAGTTCCAGGACAGCTGGGGCTACAGAGAGACATTGTCTCAAAAAGAATGGAACAAACATGGAAGTGAAGCAAACCAGTCACAAAGGACCTAATATTGTATGATTGCATTTCTATGAAATATCCAGAGTAGGCAAATCTACAGAGAAAGTAAGTAGATTAGCTGTTGCCAAGGGCTG